AGCTGGACAACCGAGAACTGATTCTTGGCAGCGACAAGAACTTTCTTCTCCTGGGCGGCCCGGGTTCGATCCCGGGTCAGGTCAAGTGGGATTTGTGGTGGACAAAGTAGCGCTGGGGCAGGTTTTCTCCGAGTTCTTCGGTTTCCCATGCAAATCTTCATTCCACCAATTGCTCCACAATCACCCTCACCTATCATCTGGGGCTCGTACAGTAGGCCAGAAGTGGCCGCAGTACAAGGGACTTAGTCCCACCCCACTAGCAATAAAAAGAACACTAAAGTAAGGAGAAGTTTATAATTAACCTACTGTGAATCCATAGACTACTAGAACCATGAGTAGATAAGCAACGTTTTCTGTTAGAAACCTAAATGAGAAATAGAGCTTCAAGATTCCGCCACTTGAAATACAGTTGAAGTTCTATGGTTATTTTTTGTTATATACAATACACAAATTCAACACAATTTGGAAGGGTAAACAATGAAAATCTATCATGAATTTTTGCATTACTGGTTATTTTATTGTATATTTATAGTGCCACGTGATTTAGTGACTGTAGACTTGGTTTGGATTTGTAGTTCAATTTATTGAACACTTACAGATCATAACTACAATTAACTATAGCGCTATCTCTAATTCAAACACTCTGCAGTTCATTACAGCACACATTAAATGTTTCAGCATTGCTGTATCTTTACCGGTTGACGCCTGGTAACGGCTTCAACTCCGTAGTTACCTCAGCTTCTGTTTTCACGTCCTTACTGGCCGGAGACTGTCTCACAACTAGCTCCTACTCTTCTAACTGTCGTCTCAAGACTCTCTCGTAATCGCAGCTGCTCCTCGTTATGTAGCCTCGGCACGGACCGCACAGGAAACACCGCTTGCAGCAGTTCTTTTATCGTTCCGTGCATGTCTTTTGCGACCATTACCCAGCAGCAGCTGTTGTACAGCTGCTTATTTCGCGGTTCTTGTCTAACAGCAGATCTACGTGCCACAGTAGCGCGATTAATGAACAGTAAATTGGGATGGGTGTGGAAGGAAGCATTTTTAATTTAATTTAAGGCGCCATTTATTTACAGCGGCTGAGGAAAACTACAAGGTACTTCCATCCGGTGTAGTCGATGTCCGGACGAGATTCGAACTGTCCGCCCTTGGAATACAAATTAGACTCGTTACTGCATGGGCCGACGTTCTTGATGGCAACAGTACTCAAAGCAACTTCGTGTACTCGTGCGTAAGGTATTGTTGTAAATAGTTTGTGAAATGCACTGGGTCAACAATTGATATTCCGATTTCTTTATGGGGTATAATTATCGTCCGCAAACTCCGTGGCCTGTAGTCCGCAAGTGAACTATAACCACCGAGCGACCGCCGCTTGTCGGCGAAGTGTTCACTTCTTTGGATTTAGTAGCTATATATAATTCTTTTCCAAAGAAAGGTCAGCCTTGCGTCAAACCCCTAAACTGAAGGACCAATTCACTGTATTTATGTCCCCCAGTGACAGGGTGGTCCAGTCATACCCCAAGGTACCGGGTTCCCTCTTCCTCGCCTTCTACGACTCGCAGAGCTAAGGAGGTACTCTAACCCGCCTTCACGCCGGAGCCGGGATAGCGCAGTCGGTATAGCGACTGGCTACGGGGTGGAGGACCAAATGGTCGGAGTTCGAGTTCCGATCGGAGAAAGATTTCTCACTTTTCTATGTCGTCCAGACAGGTTCTGGGGCCCACCCAACCCTCTATCCAATGGGTACCGGGGTCGCTTTTCCCGAGAGTAAAGCGGCTGGGGCGTGAAGCTGACCACTCACCTACAACTAGTGCCGAGGTTAAGAAAACGTGGGTCTATACATCCGCTTCCCCACACGCCTTCGTGGCGTAGTGATTAGTTAGGCACAGGGAGTGTACCTTACCTTACCTCCTCACGGGAGCTTTATGGACTATAGCAGATGGTAATATCAGGTCTTTCTTTATAATGTTCTCTCAGATCTGGTTATGAATGTAATATTATTCATCAGATAAGTGTGTTCCCTTCTACTGACATTGTTCTGCCATGTGTAATATTGAACCAGTACACTGAGAGGTTAAAGGTCAGTGGGCCGCGTACCAAGATGATTGCAGCGTATAGCGGCGTAAGAGAAATACTGCTGTTGGGCGAAGCAGTCACGAACGCTGCCAGTTGAAATGACCGCAGTCATTACGTCTCTACCCTGTAATCGTATTATGACAAAGCCACATAACGTACCGAACAGTGTGGATATTCAGTCGTGAATGTCGAAGTGCGCATGTAAACACATTTCCTATTAATGTATTCATAAAGTACTCATTTCTTTTGAGATATATACATAAAATGGAGGATAATATTGTCACGATTTAGGAGATGTGCGTGACTTACAGACGGGTTCTGGATTGGATTATTTGATTTATTGACACCTTATTCACATAACTTGGGACTACAGGCAATGCAGCGCTGTCGCTGATCTACACACTTGAAGTTCACCGTTACACATGCACTAGGGTTCTCAGTCTTCACTGGCCGTATCCTGGCAACGGATTTCATAGCAGTCTCACTGTTATTTCAAATCATACTTGAAGACTTCTTTTCACAGCCTAGTTCCTTTCTTGCCGTTATTCTGCAAGTGCCAACTCATTTCAATTCCCCGGCTCCCAAGCTCATATCCTGGCAGGCTAGCGTCTTGAAATTAAATTATTCTCAACTGAACTCTTCTTTATAACCACTTTACGCGGAACACCTAGAAAACAACCTCTCTGTTGTTGAAAAGGTGTGTTTACAGCGCCGCTGTGTAGCAACAGAATTTAATTTATTGTTGCTTGCATATTTGTTGCCGCGGGAATGTGTTTACCTAGTCATTGCCTAGCAATGAACGTTTATTCTGACTTCACTATTCCGGCTTTCGGGCGTCATGGCACAATATTAAAACTAATCTTGAGCATGTGAACGCAATGAGAAACTAAGATTAATGTGTTCTGAGATGTGAAGCAGTGTAGTATGGTAGATATATACATATGTTTCGGAGGGACATGCTGCCTCCAATTTCAGGTTGGAAGTGTAGGTCAAAGCCGAGCGTGGAAGAAATGTTACAGGTACATGGAGAGGGACCACTGTGATAAGCTCCCAAAGCGAACCAGTCAGATTAGGAGTCTCAGGCATATTGGAAGGCCTTTTTAGCCTACTTTCCTTATTATAGAAAATTAAGTAGGCTTGTGAGGTTTACCTTGCCCTCTATGTGCCTGTAGATGTACCCCCCCCCCCGCAACAAATATTAATGCCTGAACCAATGGAACTTGGTATGTATGCCACGGTACCTGAGCCCATCTCAACGGCGTGATTCATGAATTGACCCAATCAGTAATAACAACATTACAACCTCTCAAACTGTTGAGGCAAAACCTTAATGTTCGCTGAACGCCAGCGCCATTCTTCATGAAACTTGGTATGTATATCATGGCACACGAAGCCATCTCAAGGAGTTTTTCATAAACTCCTATAATCAGTAATGCCGAAAACTGCAGCCTCTCAGACTGTTGTGGTGTTAATCTCGTAATATTACTTGAATGCCTTAACCTATCGTCATTAAACGTGGTGTGTATATCGTGCCATCTGAGGTCATGTCGACAGCGCGTCATCAGTAATATCAAAACTGCAGCTTTTTAAATTCTGTTTTATTGTCTTCATTACGCATACGTGTTATTTTTTTCCTACTTATAGCGTAGTTGGTTGAGATACTATGCTACCAGCGGAAGGTCGTGGTTTCGATTCCCGTTGAGGTTATTGGAGTTTTCAGTTGACCTAATCCTTCCAGCCGCACTATGGCCCAGGGGTGACCCAGCCTTTAAAAGAAATTAGTACCAGGAATCTTCCTGGGGGGTAAAAGGCATATTACGTATTACATACCACAAAAAGGGGCAAAAATGGCCGTGAATAACCAGTGGGAGGGGGTATCGGGGGGTTAGCTGAATGGAGAAAGGACACAGTGGCTTTAGGCTAGGAACACACACAGCGACATCGCACAGATTGCATGGTGCATGTTCTTTTTTCAGCAGTTGATAGTTATTGAAACGGTGAAGGAATTGCCCACTCGAAAGTAATGGCTACGGGCTGGACGACCAAGGGGTCGGAGTTCGAGTCCCGGTGAGGGCAAGAATTTTCTTTTCTCCACGTCGTCCAGACCGCTTCTGGAGTCCACCCTACCTCCTATTTAATGGGTACCGGGGGCTTTTTCCCCGGGGTTAAAGCGGCACGGGCGCGAAGCTGACCACTCACCTCCAACTAGTGCTGAGGTCAAGAAAATGTGGATCTATACATCCACTCTCCCACACACCTTCATGGCATGCTTAATTAGTTAAGCACAAGGACAGCTTTAACGTTACCAGTACTAAGAAAGACAATAGCTGTGTTAACATAAAATCTTCACGAACTTCTAAATCCTGTTTAGCCCCCCAGAATGATTGACTATTCTGGCATTGATCCGTCGTCCGATGTCCGAAAAGTCAGTTAGTAAGATGCGATCTTCACGGACTTCAGGATCCTACTTATTCCTGTGGAGGTTGAGTACCGTAGTGTGTCCGTGGTGTGGGTGTCAGATGTGCAAGTAGTTCAGATGATATTGTGTCTTGTTTGCTGGCTCTTCGTGACGGTGAATTGAGGTTGAGTGATTGGTGTGCACATTTCAGGGGTAGCTGCTTTATCATTCGTCCTTGTTTACTGAATGTGGTGTTCGTGGTTTGTGAGTGGAGACTGTTCTCCTGGAAACAAATCCTTGTTCCCAGGACGCATGCTTACGTCTCATCTCCAGAAACCGAGACCAAAACAGGATTTTCATACAGCTGTTTGTAGCGCGACTGCCTCTGTGGTCTAGTGGTGAGAGTTCCTGGCTACAGATCCAGAGGTCCCGGGCTCGATCCCCCGGCTTAATGGGGCATATGTGTCTCGCTTAGTTCCACGTACTGAACAGCTTCCCCGCTACAATTGTTATTCTTTTGTTTCAGGTAGATGCAGTCCTACTGAAGGGCCAGAGACAAATATGGATTGGACTTACAGGAAGGTGAGTGTATTCAGATAAGAATAGCATATATAGGGTGTCACAAAAATAAGACATTGTTTAAATAAATTGTGACAATACTCGACAGATTTTTATGACAGTAGTTATTCAGTTCGGTTGGGTACTCGAATGTTTTCCATTATGAATGTTAAAGGCAGGCTTTTGTTTTCACAAAGGCCCATGTCTGATCGCAAGTTATACATTATGTTACTGTAGGTCACATTACAGTTCTGCTAAATAGTTTGATCTGCCGATCACAGTGGCCGCGCATTCTGAGGCATGAACCGTCTCCGCCCGCTCGAACACTGGGATCGTGGCTTCGAATTCCACTCGAGGCATGGATGTCTGTATACGTTTATTCTGTGTTTATGTTCTGTTTTTAGGTGGCGGCCTTACTAATCCCCGACCAAGAACTACCGACTATATGTAAGATTAAGAAAATGAAAAAGAGGTCCACAGGGCTGTCTACCCATAGAGAGAGATATGTAATGCTCTAGTTTTGTATTCAGGAAGTGTTCGGTTCGAATCTCGGCTAGAACGCCGTCTGACATGACTAAAGTTTTCGTGGTTTTCTGGAGTCCTCCAGAAAAATGCTTGGGCAGTACCTCAATGTGGCCACAGCCGTCTCCTTCCAAATCCTTACCACTTTATCACTCATTAATCCTCAAATAACTCGACGCTTTATAATCATGATGCTTATAACGTCGTTGAAGTAACTCACAGACTCGTAAAATATATTCCTGTAACAGGCTGTGAAGGTCCACGGTGTTGTGAGACGTCGAGACTCCCACATTTTCTAGACAATCGGCTCACAGATGGCGTAGAGGTTGTCAGCCTTACGCGCCGGCCGCCGCCCTTTATTCCCGAGGAAGATTCCTGATACTCATTTCTGTTAGAGGCTTAGTCGATCCAGGACCATAGTGAGGCTGGAAGGTTTAGGTCAGTTTAAAAATTCCACCTCATCGGGACCCTAACCCGCGACCTTCCTGCTTGTAGGATAGTACCTCAACCAACTACGCTACCGCGTGCCCCCACTCACAGACTGGTAACTCTGGTTTTTGTACATGAACTGTTGAAGTTCGTTTCAGACATGGTAATATGACGGATTGAAAGTTGGATATTCTGGTGGTCGTTCTGGGAACTAGAGAAATGCAACCGTAACGCCATCAGACACTCGGACAGCGGGTGATTGTGAATGTAAAAGCCTGTTGTTAACATTCAAAGTGGCAAACATCTGTCAGTGTAAGGAACCAGGAGAACTGGATAAAGCTTTTTCTTATATATGTCAAGTACGTGTGTACTCATATACTCTACAGAATTTAATCGGGTTTCTTTGAAATTCCCAGAGCCATTCACTTTTGCTATTTTTTAAGAAGGAGATTTCATTCGTCGCTCGACACTGCGTAAACAGGAGCTTTGGACTCGATTAGAGGTTACTAGGAATTCGTTACCTTAATTCGTAAATGTGAAGGTAAAAGGTAAAGCTATCTCTGTAACAGGCCATGGAGGCCCATAGGGTTGTGAGACGTCGAGGCTCCCACATTTTTCTGGACAGTCGACTCAAAGATGGTGGTGAGGTTGTCAGCTTTACGCGCCAGCCGACCTTTACGCCTCAGGCAGATTCCTGGTACTCATTTCTGTTAGGGGCTCAGTCGACCCCAAGGCCATAGTGCGGCTGGAAGGATTAGGTAAATTGAAAATTTCAATTACCTTATTGGGAACGTGACTGGCTTATAGCATAGTGCCTCAACCAACTTCGCTACTTCCTTAATTTGCAATGTTTCTATCTCAAAATGACATTTTTATCCAGGTTATGAATGCATTATTTCTATGGGACATAATGGATATATTTTTTTTTCATTGGCGCTACAGCCCTCATTCGGGCCTAGGCCTACCTCCATGAACTTTTCCGTTCACTTCGGTTTTTCTAGATCTTACACGTTCGGTAGGACTCCTTGGGCGGGTGATCAGCTCGTCGCTAGGCCTCTACCTGTACACAAACATCCATGCCCTGAGTGGGATTCGAACCCACGATCCCGGCTTCCAAGCGAGCAAAGACAGTACATGCCTTAGACCGCTCGGCTACCGTGACCGGCATAAGGGATATATATCTTCAGAAAAGAAAAATAATTTTTTTTCCCACCTCCTGTCTTCAATGTCGATGTATCAAACATTGAACCCTTGTTTTCTCTGTTCCACCAAATGTGGAGATGGTTCCTTAAAGAACTACAACCGCGAAGTGTTAACTACTTTACTAATTCACGGAACAGACTCCTTTCTGAGAAGTCAGTAGCACAATAGATCGAAACAGTCTCCTACTTAGATTAAGAAACTGAAGTGAAACGAAGCGTTGTGCTGCAGGTGGGGGCAACAGGAACAGACACAGAGGAGAGAGAGACTAAACGGATTGGTAGCATCCACTGAACACCGGATCGTGCTTATTATTTCTGGAATTAGGGTTTGATTATCCCTAGGACCATAAAATTTTGTTGTTGCGCTGAATAAACATAATCTCCATATGCATATACAGCAATACCTCGCATAGTCCGGCTTCGATCAATCCGGATTCACTATAGTCCGGTTTGAAAATTTCAAAACAAACTAAATTTTAATTGAGCAAAATAAAAATAAATTCTAAATAATTAGTACACAAAATTGTTTTAATACATAAATGATCGTTTTTTTCCTCTTTATACAGTAGCACTCAGAGGCACTCACCTGGTTTTACTGCGACCTATTCCCTTTTATTAAGGCAGTAGTACAGGGACTACGAAAAATTTAGAATTATTCAGCCGGTCAAGAAGGTTCATTACCGTGTTCACATTGGTCTGTAATAGGACTGTATTCTCAGGTAGGTCCATTGCTTCACGTCTTGATACCCTATTTCTGTGAGATCTGTTTTAATATTATGCATCGGCATACGAAGTGGTCCACAGACACTATTAACCAAGGTAGGGGCCAACTATCCTTCTTTCCATGGGGAACGTGAGGCTTTCGAAAATGACAGATGTCTAATATTTTCTTTATGGCTCTACAACCCCTTGGACCTTGACCCCTTCTCAGTTTAGTAATTTTCATTACACAGAATGGAGGACTCCTTGGACGAGTGATCAGCCCGTCGCAAGGCTGCTACGTACACACAGGACAACACAAACAGAATAATCGCACACACAGACATCCATGCCATGAGTGGGATTCGAAGCCACAATCCTAATGTTCGAGCGGGCGAAGACGGTTCATGCCTTAGGTCGCGCGGCCACTGTGACCGGAGGCTTCTTATCTGCTTTCTTCTTTTTTCTTTTCCTTGGCACTACAGCCCCAGTGGGCCTAGGCCTACCTCCATGAACTTCTCCGTTCACTTCGGTTTTTCTAGGTCTTACACATTCGGTAGGACTCCTTGGGCGGGTGATCAGCTCGTCGCAAGGCCTCTACTCTTTATCTGCTACTTTTTTTAATTTCTGTACCACACTTCTAGGCTCGAACCATATTAATGTTGCACGATATTTTCTTGGAGAAGCTCCTAGATGCTCCATACATTTCTCTGTCAGGTAATGACATGAATATGACGCATCTCGCACCTTTCGAATGGAAGATATCTGTCCGTCCGATTGGTTCATATTTCCGTGATCAGATATTCAACGGAGAAATGATCGGAGTATATCAGAGCAGCTTTGAACAGTGTTAGTTAGTTATTGGAGAGGGTGGGTTTCCCCATGCACTTAGACCAGTATTGGTCCAGTGTGCTTCCCTCTATGATATTCTACCAGTCTCTATATCCTACCGATATTGGTGCGTACCATCAGTCCCGACCGAGCCAGCGAGTTCGGCCTCCACTAGCTTGGCGGTATCTATAATGCTTCCCCCATCTATCAGAGGTGTTAGAGACTACTTGTTGAATTGAATTTGGCTCAGTGACCTCCTTTGGAGATACGAGGTTCTTTTACGTGCCGTAAAGCTACGACACGGGACCCACGGCTTAAAGTCCCTCCCGGAGGACTTGTTCCCTGAATTTTTCCGCCCTTAAAAATTCGACGACCTCCGCCGGGTTTCAACCCGCGTACCACGAGTCATGAGGTGGGAACGTTACGTCTAGACTACGGAGGCCGCTTTTGAACAGTGTTACTCAACTAATATGTCTTTAAGCTTTGACTGGGGACCTCACACGTTCCTATTCACATCACGGGAACCCCAGAGTGAAAGATTCTGACAACGGTGGCCTCACAGCAGTAATACGAAACTCCCTTGAACAAAGGTCACTTAAGAAACTCAAAACCCTTCCTGGTCTGGAAGCATAGTAAACAGATCATCTTTCACGGAAATATTAGTGAAGATTAAAATCGTCTGGGTTGTAACGCCGTGCATTTCGGAGAAGGCCCGACTTTTCGGACGAAAATATTGCGTCCATCTTCAGGGTGGAAGAATAAGCAAAGCAAGAATCTAGAATTGGGTTCCAAACAGCTTGACGTCTGCTTCTACTTGAAGAGAATGTATGCATAATAGGAAAACCAGAACGGAAGAGATTTCGACATAGATGGGAAGATAATATTAAAATGTATTATAGCGTGTAGAGTCATTTCTAGGCAACGATCGCAAACAAACAGGTTCCCGCGCGCAACAGTAGAGTTACTGTTGGAAACGGAGCCTTTTGCCGTGGTGCTTACCGATGGGTTATAAAGGGGACAGCTGGGGCAACAATAGGCGGTTGGAAGGGAGCTGCCGTTCAGAGAAGCCCAGAAGCAGAGGAGTAGCCATTGTTAAATCCGTTACCAGGCAACTTCAGTGAAGACACTGCGAACTACAAAAGATTTAGTGTATTGATTTGTAAAGTGCGGAAATTATCGATGGCGCTATAATTAAGAGTAATTACGGGTTATGTGTTAAAGTGGAAAATAAATCCAATATCCAATTCAAAACCCCGTCTAGAGTCACTCATACACGTGACAGTACTTATTGAAATGGAGCATGGGAATGCTGTGGCCCAAGATAGTGCAACTACGGCGATG